ATGAATGAATGAGCCTTCATTCATGTGCAAAGCTTTGAGTGGCGAAGATGAATAAGGGGATGAGCTTTTTTCTATGAGATTTGCTCTCCAGGCTACTTAAATGTTCATAAGGGCTGTTTTCCTCCCAGAGGCGAAAAGCAAACACACAATTCCCTTAGGGGTCGCAGACTGAGACGGCATTGCTCATGCGCTCATTCCTGCATGCACTCCTTCATGTGTCCATCGGGTGGGATTAACAGCCAGCTCCGTGTCAGTTCTGTTTTGCTCGAGGTACAAAAATGGCACACAGGCCAGTGAGGATGGTGGACACATAGTTGCCTTGTAAGAACATTTGAAGAACTGTATCATGGAAAAAGCGCTTTAATGAGGGGAATTTGGGCTTTCCTGGCCAAATGGCACAGACATGTGGGTCAACGTTGAAAGCATGATGAATGAGCCAAGAGGTCCTGAGGACTTCCTTCCTTTTTCCTGGTTATCTGGGGAATCCACGTGCAGTGTGTGCAGAACTTCGGGAGGGGCAGACCGGGCACCGTGGCTTACACCTTACACCTTAATCCCAGCACTTTGGGAGGCCAAGGTGGGTGGATCACCTGAGGTCAGGAGTTCTTGAGCAGCCTGGCCGACATGGTGAAACCCCATCTGTACTAAAAATACAAAAATTAGCCAGGTGTGGTGGCGGGCGCCTGTAATTCCTGCTACTCAGGAGGCTGAGGCGAAAGAATCGCTTGAACCTGGGAGGCAGAGGTTATGGTGAGCCAAGATCGTGCCGCTGCACTCCAGCCTGGGCAACAGAGCGAGACTCTGTCTCAAAAAAAAAAAAAAAAAAAAAAAAAAAAAAAAAAACAAGAAGAACCTTGGGCGGGAGAAGGCTGATGAGGGCGTGTCATAGAGACACAAGGCCCAACTGAAAGGGCTCCCTGAGTTCAGAGCTGGAGCTATTTGAGCAACAAAATATCAGAACAGTCTGCAATTACAACTGAAGTATAAAATAAATATTTATAAGCTCATAGTGATATAAATAAATGATTGAATGAGTAAATAATGGAGGGGAAGAGACAAACGTCTCCCATGCTAATGAATTCCAAATCATAGATGTGGCTCTTCCATCTTCGAGGAGGAGGGTAACTCCCACCCCTCAAGCGTGGGCTGTGCGCGGTGACTTCCTTCCAAGAGGACAGTGCAGAAAGGAGAAGAGTGACTCCACCAGGGAGGGTCTGACATGCAGGACCCTGTCTGGGAAGGAAGGGCAGTGCCATCGGTGACAAGTCTGCTGACGGCCGGCGGTTGGTCTGATGTCCCTCACTCACCCCTGCAGCCCTCCTCCCAAGAACCCACAACCCCATCTGATGCCCAGAAAATCATCAGACAGACCCACGTTCAGAGGCATCCTCCAGCATGCCTGGCCAGCCCTCCTCAGAGCTCACAAGGTCATCCAACACAAGCAAAGTGACCAAACTGTCTCAGCCTAAGATGTACTGTGGTGTCCTGGTGGGATCCTGGGACAGGAAAAGGAAATACTGGTGGAAGCTGAACAAAGCACGGCATTTGGAGAACACTAACGTGCTGATGCTGGCATCCTCCTTGTGGTGAATGTCCCAGGCTAACGCAAGGTGTTAATAACAGGGGAACTGCGCATGGCGTAGACAGGAACCGTGAGGCTCAGCTAAAACGCCCCATCCTGTATGGAAGCATCCTGCAGGGTGTGGCTAAGAACAGGGCTCTGGAGTCAAACACTCAGCTCCTGACCTCAGCTCTATCCTGACCATCCGTGTGACCTCCCTGTGCCTCACTGTCCCCGTCTAGCAAGCAGGAACTCGCTCGGCTATCTCTACAACTTTTCCGTAAATCTGAAACTATTCTATCAAAGTAAAAAAGTAAATTTCTTCTAGCTCCACCACTTAAGACCAATCATTCTTACATCCCACCAAGCTGCCTGCCATTCTTATTTCTGGCCATTTCCCATTGATAAAAATATACCTGCTTACCTACTCACTCGTCATTAACAGAATCCTAACAGACTGCATTATCACCGTGTCAATGTGGTACGTACAGTAAGCGTACTTCCTTGTAATTTTGCACCCTGCTGTTTTTCATGAGCACATAAGCTCCCCAGTCATTACCTGTTCTTTGCCAACATTATTATGTAATCGAAGGCTCCCCTCAGTTCTTCCTTGTTTTTTTTTTCTTACGGATAACCACACCAAGAGGCACAGCTCTGAGCACACACTTTCGTCCGCATTTCGGGGACAAAAGTCGTCCAAGGAATCGCTCTCCATGAAGGCCACGTTGTTCTCCGTCAGGCCCTTGGTGTGCTGGGAGAGCAGGGTTTTGTGTTAGCAGAGATTAGTGACCGTAGCGGGGAAGTTCATGAAGGTTTACCTGGAAAGAAAGGATCTATGGGATCACCATTCATTCACTTAAAGGCAGGCACCCCAGGCAGCCTATTGATTTTGGCTCCATGAGTTTAATTGTCTTCTGGAGATATTCTGGGGTCTGGCAAGGCCACAATAGTCGCCTTGTGCCATTGCCCACTGCCCTCCCCAGGAAAGCTGTGCTCATCTTCAGCAGGGCTGGTCCTACCCAGCCCCACGCGAGGCCCAGCTTAAACACTCCATCCTGCATGGGCGCACCCTGCAGTGTGTGGCTAAGAACAGGGCTCTGGAGTCAAACGCTTGGCTCCAAAGGGAGACTTCCTTTGGGACTGGCTTTGGGTCCCCTGTTAGGATGAGAACCATGTCCAACACAGCCACAACTGCTCCTGTGCCTCACCCCCATCCCTGCAGTACCCAGTGCCTGGGTAAGCCAGGACTGTACATGTTTGTTGAATGAGGGAATGAATGAATGAATGAATGAGGGAATGAATGAATGAATGAATGAGGGAATGAATGAATGAGGGAATGAATGAATGAATGAATGAGGGAATGAATGAATGAGGGAATGAATGAAGGAAGGGAGGAAGAAAGGAAGGAAGGAACAAACGAAAGAACAAACGAACACTGTGTGCTTGTAGGATCAGAGCAAGGGGTGCACACTCAGTCTCTGGGTAACCTGGTTCAGATTCCATGGCTGTGTGACTTCAGGTAAGTTTTGTCTGCCGCCTTGTCTGCTAATTGCAAAACAAAATGGCCCCGGGGCCACCTGTGAGTGTCTGGGTGTCTGTCATTCTGAATGTAGAGATTCGATGGCCCGAATCTGACCAAGCCACCAAACCCAGCTGGGATAAGGGGATCTCCTTCTAAATGACCCACTCCTGTGTGAGCCCCTTTGAAAACCTAAACCAGGCCACCCATCCCTTCATCATGCCTCCCTAGAGACCTCCCGCCCCAAATAACAGGATCCCTGGTTGGCAGAGCTCTTGTGTGTGTTTCCTGGGGTTGCCATTGCAAAGACCCACAAACCAGGGGGCTGAAAGCAGCAGCAATGTATCCTCTGACAGTACGGATACCGGGAGTCCAAGGTGTTGGCCGGGCTGGTACCTTCTAGGGGCTCAGAAGTACTCTTCATTCTGTGCCACTCCCAGCGTCCCGGGCTGCCGGCAGTTCATGGCCGTGGTAACGTCCAGGTGCGTCCCCCGTCTCTGTACCTCTCCCAGCATCCTGGGCTGCCGGCAGTTCATGGCCGTGGTGATGTCCAGGTGCGTCCCCCGTCTCTGTGCCTCTTCCAGCGTCCCGGGCTGTCGGCAGTTCATGGCCGTGGTAATGTCCAGGTGCATCCCCCGTCTCTGCCTGTGTGTCACCTTCTCTCTGTGTCCCTACCTACCCTCTCCATATAAGGACACCAGTTGTTGAATTTAGGGTTTACCCTAAATCCAGATGGCTTCATCCTGAGATGCTTAGCCACGTCTCCAAAGACCCTATTTCCAAGTAAGATCACAGTCCCAGGTGCTGGGTGTAGGGATGTTGATGGATCTTTGTGGGGTCACCATACAACCCACTGTACCACTGTCCGAGGCTTTGCAGACCCAACCCCCCTGGCTGCTGCTGCAGCCCCATGTCTGCCTCCTGCTCAGTTCCCTTCATCAGCCCCTCGGGCCTGCCCCTGAGTTCCCCGGCGACCCCCAGCTCAGTAATCTCCTCTGCTGAAGGTAGTGGGCCCCACCCAGTCACTCCCTCCCCGTCCATCCCTGGTCCTGCTTTGGGGCAGTTTTCCCTGAAACAGAATTTTAGACAGGGTTTTTGAGTGCTCACCTGTCTTGGCTCTCAGGAGTGGATTCGAATTCACAGCAGAGGCCGTGAACCCTGCATTTACAGTGGAGCCTCAGGGCCCAGAACAGTGGCCTGCACTCCATGAATGAATGAATGAATGAATGAATGAATGAATGAATGAATGGCTATGATTAGCACTGAGCCAGCTGGGTTTGGGGGAAACCTGCCATTTCTGCAGCACCCACTCCCTGGCGTGTGGGGGGGCCCCAGCCCAGGCACTCATGAATGAATGAATGAGTGAATAAATGAATGCCTAAATGTGTGGCTACAGTTAGGCTGAGACGGCTGAGTTGGGGTTGGACCCGCCATTTCTGGGCACCCCTCCCTGGTGTAAGGAGAAGCTTGACCCAGGCACTCCATGAATGAATAAATGAATGAGTGAATGGCTATGATTTGCATTGAGCTGGCTGGGTTGAGAGTGGACCCACCATTTCTGGGCACCCCTCCCTGGTGTGTGGAGAAACCCGGCCCAGGCACCCCATGAATGAATAGACAGATGAGTGAATGGCTGTGATTCATGCTGAGCCGGTCAGGTTGGGGGTGGACCCGCCATTTCTAGGCATCTCCTCCCTGGTGTGCAGGGGTGAGGGGCTGGTCCCGAGACTCCATGAATGGATGGCTATAATTAGGCTGAGCTGGCTGGACTAGGGGCGGGCCCGCCATTTCTGGGCACTCCTCCCTGGTGTCAGGGGTTAGAGGGGAGAGGCACACCCAGCCCAGGCCTCACAACCCCCTTTCAGATGTTGGGGGAGAGGCGCACCTGGCCCGGGCCTCACAACCCGCTTTGTGTTTCAGGTCATCCTTGTCAGCTCCTCACTCAGTGACCGGGACCAGAGCCTATTCCTCAGTGTGGACGAAGGCGCCACCTTTCAGAAGCAGCCCATTCCCTTCTTCGTGGATACTCTGATTTTCCACCCTAAGGAGGAGGACAAGGTGCTCGCCTACACAAAGGAGAGCAAGGTAAGCTGTATGGATGCCTCTCGCCTGGCGTGTGGGGCTGGGGTCTGCTTGACCCACCTGGAGGCGAGTGCCCACGTGGAGCGGACCCGGAACCCCTGGGCTGGCTGTGGAGGAGCCTCCCGGGGCTGGGGACTGGGACGCTGGACCCCGCCATTGCCCTCTCCTTAGTGCCCCCTCGAGGGACCGCGCTCACTTGGCCGTGGTGTGGGAGCTGAGTGAAGTGGTCAGGTGGGCAGTGCACCGGGCTCGGAGGCTCAAGAGAGGAACCAGTGAGTACCAGGTGATTAGGATCATGCCACTCGCCATCCCTCTCTGCACACCAGTCACAAGGGCCTTTCTCCACTTCCAGAACATTCCCCACACTCTCATCACACCTCACTAGGCCTTCCCCTCAGTCTGGAATGCTCTTCTACCCTCGCCGAGAGCAGTGACTTGTTCTTCCCCAAATCAGCATCTCCTCCTCTGGGAACTGTGTCTGTGGGGCTCAGTAGGGAACTGAGGCCTTGTCCCTGGGTGAGTGGGAGAGCGGGGGTCCAGCCTGGTGGGGAGCCACTGGGCTGCATCTGCAGGGAGGGGTCCACCTGGGTTCTGAGGCTGGGGAGGGAGAGGGCCCGGGGGCTGGGGAGGGCCCAGTAGGAAAGGGCTGGAGGAAAGGACTTTGTTCCTTTCCTGCAGCCATGGGAACAGATGGCCACAGGCTATGGTTTAAGCAACAGAAACTTATTCTCTCACAATCTGGAGGCCCACATTCCAAAACCAGCATCGCTGGGCCAAGATCAAGGTGTCAGTGGGGCCATGTTCCACCTGGACTCTAGGGAGGAGTCCAACCCTGCCTCTTCCAGCTGCTGGCAGCTGCCAGTATCTCCTGGCTGTGGCCGCATCTCCATACCTTCAGGCTTCAAATCTCCACTGCCCCATCTCCACACTGCCTACTGTGTGTGTGTGTGTGTGTACGCATGTGTGTGAGTGCATGTGAGTGTGTGGGTGGGTGTGAGACTGTGAGTGTGAATGTATGAGTGTATGTGGATGTGAACGTGTATATGAGTGTGTGGGTATGTGCGTGGATGAGGTGTTTGAGTGTGAGAATGGGTGTGAAGGTGTATTTGAGTGTGTAAATTGTGGGTGTGAGTTAGTGTGTGTGTGTGATTGTATGAGTGTGTGTAGGGTGTGGGTGTGTGCATGAAAGTGTATGTGAGTTTGTGGGTGTGTGGGTGTGTTTATGAGAATGTGTGAGCGTGGGTGTGAATGTGAGTGTGGGTGTGGGTGTTAGCGCATGTGCGTGTGAGTGTGAAAGTGCATGTGTGGGGAGGTGTGTACATAAATGTGCATGTGTGAGAGTGTATGTGAGTGTGTGGGTGTTTATGAGTGCGAAACTGTGAGCATGTCAGCGTGTGCGTGTGTAGGGGTGTGTGTATGTGAGAGAAGCTATGGGAACGTGTGTTTGTGTGAGTGTAGATGAGTGTGTGGGGGTGTGTATGAGCATGTGGGTGTGAGAACCTATGTGAACGTGTGTGAGTGAGGGTGTATGAGTGTGTGGGGGTGTGTGAGTGTGGGTGTGTGTGAGAGAGCCTATGTGAGCATGTGTGTTTGTGTGAGTATACATGAGCATGTGTGGGTAAGTGTGTGTGAGCATGTGTGTTTGTGTGAGTGTATGTGGACGTGTGTGGGTGTGTGTGAATCTTCCTCTGCCCCTACTTTCTGTAAGGACTCAGGGGCTTTCATTTAGAGCCCACACAGATAGCCTGGGGTGATCTTCACATCTGGAGACCTCAGCAATCCCGTCTGCAGGCTCCCTTCCTGCCCTGTGAGGTAATGGTCCCAGGTTCTAAGGATTAGGACGTGGATACGTTTTAGAGGCCACTCTGAACCTAGCACCTCTGCCCAACAGGAGGTGTGGGCTCCACAGTTGCAGGAAGGGTCCCAGTAGGAGGCCTGGCTCTGAGTAGAGCAACTGAACCAAACTGTGGCTGAACAGTCAGGGAACGAGAGGAATAGCACATGCCTCTCTCTCTCCAATGCACTGAGGCTTCCCACAGGCAGAATCCAATCAGAGGCTAGAGGAAAGAGGCTGTGGATCTGTCTACACAGGTCAGTCTCAGGGTCAGAGAAGGGAGGATCTGTCTACACAGGTCAGCTCCCAGGATCAGAGAAGGGTTGGAAAGAGGCATCATGGACCTGGAAGGCAAACACAAGCTGCCCAAGTCAGCAGCCTTCCCTGTGCCACCCCAGGTCAGCTTGAGCCCCAGTATTTCACACTCTTCCATATTCCTGTGCTTCTCTTTCTCAACACTGATCACAATGGGTATCTATTAGTCCGTTTTCACACTGCTCTAAAGAACTACCTGAAACTGATTAATTTATGAAGAAAGAGGTTTAATTGACTCAAGGTTCCGCATGGGTGGAAAGGCCTCAGGAAACTTACAATCACGGTGGGAGGCGAAGGGGAAGCAGGCGTCATCTTCACAAGGCATCAGGAGAGAGAGAGCACAAGTCGGGAAATGCAAAATACTTTTAAACCATCAGATCTCATGAGAACTCACTCATTATCACACAACAACGGCATGGGGGAAACTGCCCCCGTGATCCAATCACCTCCCACCAGGTTCCTCCCTCCACATGTGGGGATTACAATTTGAGATGAGATTTGGGTGAGAACACAGAGCGAAACCATGTCAGGTAACTATATATTTGTGTAATCATTTGGTTATTGCCTACACCCAATACATACACTTGGGGTAAGCTCCTTGAAGGCAGGGAAGGTGTCTGGTCTTTTTCACCATTTTAATCTAAAGTGCCTGCCTGGCTGAAAATATTAGTTAGATGAACAGATCGAGGATGGGTGGGTGGACGGATGGGTGAGGAGGGACGGACACATGAACGAATGGATGAATAGATGTATAGATGATGGGTGGATGGATGGATGGATGGATAAAGGATGGATGAATGATGGATGGGTGGATAGATGAATGGGTGGATGGATGGATGGTGGGTGGATGGGTGGATGTATTGATGATAGATGGTGGGTAGATGGATGGATGGATGATGGATGAATGGATGATGGAAGGACGGATGGATGGATGAGTGGATGGATGGATGGATGGGTGGATGGTAGACGGATGGGTGATAGATAGATGGGTAGACGGATGGGTGGACAGATAGATGGGTGGATGGATAGATGATGGATGGATGGATGGATGGGTGGATGGGGATGGATGGATGGGTGGACAGATGGATGGGTGGACAGATAGATGGGTGGATGGATAGATGATGGATGGATGGATGGATGGATAAATGGATGGATGGGGATGGATAGATGGATGGGTGGGTGCGTGGGTAGATGATGGATAGATAAATGGATGATAGATGGATGGATGGATGGGTGGATGGTAGACGGATGGGTGATAGATAGATGGGTAGACGGATGGGTGGACAGATAGATGAGTGGATAGACAGTTGATGGATGGATGTATGGATGGATGGTGGATGGATGGGTGGATGGTAGATGGATAGGTGATGGATGGATGGATGGGTAGACAGATGGGTGGACAGGATGGTAGATGGATAGGTGATGGATGGATGGATGGGTAGACAGATGGGTGGACAGATAGATGGGTGGATGGATAGATGATGGATGGATGGATGGTGGATGGATGGGTGGATGGTGGACGGATGGGTGATGGATGGATGGCAGACTGTTGGTTAGATGAATGAATGATAAATTTCTACCATCAGGGACTGTCCAGGTCAGGGACCTCCAAATGGAGATTCCTGGCTCTCCTTTGCCATGGCTGTCGACAGGACCTGGCCTCTTTGCCAAGGTCTGGTCTTCCCTGACCGGCATCCCTGCATTTCTCAGCCTCCTGGGCTGCCTCTTTGCTCCTGGCACCTTCCTTGGTAATAGCTTGTGCTTCTGGGTATTAATAGCGCTACTTAGCCTTCCATGTAATTAGACTAAAGCGCAATCACGGAGACTTATTTTCCCGCAGAAATTGACTGCATTGCAATTGCTCTTTAATTTATGGTGCCCTGAAAAATTAATGGAGCTGAAATCTCAGTTATTTGCTTTGGTTCTTTTCTGTGACAATAAGGAAAGAAAAGGGGAAGAAAAAGGCTTAGTTGCAGTTGTAAAAGGAATAAGGAATTTGAGTAAATTAATAACAATGACAACAGGGCTTTAGTTTTTGAGGGGCTATGCCGTTTTTCAAAGCTCTAATTCTCAAGAAGTAGGGTGGTGTAGTGGAACAACACCAGCCTTGACTCCAACAAATCTGGTGTGTTAGGCAGGTATCTTCAACAATCATACTAAGTAACACACAGCCCCAAGCCTCAATGGCTTACAGAAACAAGCATTATTTCTTCTTCCTGGGGCTCTGTGGGTTGCCCGGCGGCTCTGCTGGGCTTTGCTGGGATTGGCTATATGAGGCTCCTGGTTACTGGTGGAGTTCACGTCCCCATAGGACTCTTATGCTGAGAGCAGGCTATTCTCATGATGGGGGAGCAGAGGCTCCAGGGGTTGCAGAGCAAACCACACGAGCAACTTTAGCGTAACAGCTTTGACCTGGAAAACATCACATCTGCTCACACAGCATCGGCCAAAGCAAGTCACATGCCAAGCTCAGAGTCAATCGAGTGGATACAATTGCTCCATTCTAAGGGTTGCAGATTTGTGCAAAGCCAAAGGCTTGCCTCCCTTTCCTTCGCTACCTCTTCCTTCCCAGATGCCAGCCCTGCCTCCAGAAAACACCTGTCCACCTACCCTCAGAGTGTCCTGTTCCATGACTTTACGATGCTTCCCTTATCCTCATTATAATTTGGGTCACTCTGAGGCTGCTTTACTTGGAGCCTGGACAGCCTTCCTGGGTGACAGCATAGTATGCATTTCTTCCAAGGCTCAGCCAACTGCAGTAGGTCCTTGAGATTGGTAGGACGTGAGAGCCCAGCAGTCCCTTCCCATGCCAGCTTCCTGGGGGCTGCTGACATGAAACTGACCAGCCTGTTTC